TTGAAGTTTTTATCACAATTTTCACACTTCGAAACTTCCAAACATATGCTTTCAGTAATATGCTCGTGATCCCCAGAATCTCGTCTTCTACGGAATTGATAATTGCTTTGGTAGACCATGGGAAAACTTTCTCACTCGATTTCTTTAGTAGGAGTGACCTATGTTGCGACAGTTCCTGTTTGCAGAATGGTTTTCGATTCGATTTTGATACTATAAATATTATGTGGAGAAGTTTGAAGAATTTCTTCATTCGGGAAGATCCTGCATTCTCCATAGAGAGCTATAGATCCTACCTGCATGGGTAAGAGGTTAGATCTTCAATGCCTTCGGGGCATTGCCATTCTTGAGGTATTGCTATTTCACTTCTGGCCTAAAGAATTTTTGAATGGTTACATAGGAGTAGACTTGTGGGTTTGCCTCAACGCTAATGACTCTAACTGAATTCCTTTGCAGGTTCTTCGTTCTCTCTGGTTACCTGATCTCTATGATTCTCCATCGTAGTTCACTACCTCTTTTGGAAGTTTTCAATAGCTTCTACTACTCTCGCATCAAAAGAATCTTCCCAGCTTACCTTCTCTTCATACTACTCACTTTGATTTCTCTCTTCTTCATTTTCCCTGTTACGAATATCGATATCAACATGGATTCCGCATACCCTGCTCTGTTCTTCTACACAAACTTTCTAACTGTTGATGGAGAGTCTCGATATGAAGCCATGGTAACCTATACTCTAGTATCACGTCAAGTTTCTGCTTAAGCTGGCTGTCGCGGACAATTTGTTCACTCACACATGGTCACTAGCAGTGGAGATTCAATTCTACTTTCTAGTTCCACTCATTTACCTATCAAGTCGATTCTTGGGGATACCAAAATCAGCTTTGCTTATATCTGTTCTGAGTAAGTTCAACACCTTCAGATATCACAAACATATCTAATCGTAGGTGTTGCTTCGTTGTTGTTCCACCTTTTAGCTGATGACAACACATCATTCAACTATGTCTTGGCTCGTCTTTGGCAGTTCTTAGCAGGTGATAGAGTGATCTTTCATAACCTTGCAACTTTTGTCTTTCAGGATATATGGTTTACCTCAAGAGCCACGTAGAAAGAACAAAGCCTGTTGACAAACAAACTGAGATGAAGGAAGTCTCGCTAGAAGGGCTACCTCCTAAGAAACCGGCAGAAGAGAGCTCAGGTACTGTTATTCATTAAAACCTTATTGACAATGATATCTAGCCTCATCGACTAACACGCAGATTCTGCAGGAAGGAGCACTGCGGCTGATAATGATTGTTCTGTTAGTACTGGGATTCACCTTCAGATACGAATACAACAAAGATTTGCTGAGGTTTGTTCACTCATTCAATGTCGTCGCCTAACCGTATTTTCAAACTTCAGAGGCATTACTACCATACTGGCTTCGATCTTCATCTACCTCGGAGGAAAAGTGAAGAAGCCTATTCTGAATCTTGAATCTCTCAGTTACTTAGGAGATATCTCTTACATCTTGTACCTGATTCATTACCCGGTTCATGTTTACCTCAGTCTCAATGGGTACAAATCAAACCAAGGTGAGATTCTAGCTGCTATCCATCAGACATCCTTATCTTCAGCTAAGTGTATGGCTGTTGCTCTATCAATTCTCCTTGCTGTACTTGTACACGAATTATTCGAAAAGTTCTATTTGAAGTTGAAAAAGAAACCAATTCTGGCTCTCGTTTCTCTCTTGTACGCTGGGAGCATACTCATCGTTGTTTTCCGTTCTCAAATAGAGGTTGCCGTTTTCGGACCAAAACTTGATTTCCGTGAAGTTCTTCTGAACCCGGATGCATACCA